ATATATATATATATATATATATATATATATATATATATATATATATATACATATATATATAAATATATATATATATATATATATATATATATATATATATATATATATATATATATATATATATATATATATATATATATATATATATATATATATATATATATATATATATATATATATATATATATATATATATATATATATATATATATATATATATATATATATATATATATATATATATATATATATATATATATATATATATATATATATATATACTCTTGCATGGTAGTTAAAAAGAGTTTCCCATAAACTGTAGTTTTGAAGAGCGCATTAATAAACCAGACCAGTAAAAGTTTAAAATTAAATTTTTTTTTTTTTTAAATGATAGACTGTCTGGCCAAACCAAAACCTCAGTCGATGTAGCAGCACTCCCTTGCGAGTCAAGCTATTTGTCAGTCGTTGTAGCAGCACTCCGTTGCGAGTCAGGCTATTTGTCAGTCGATGTAGCAGCACTCCGTTGCGAGTCAGGCTATTTGTCATTCGATGTAGCAGCACTCCGTTGCAAGTCAGGCTATAAGATAGTTGATGTAGCAACATTTACGCATGTTTTAAAAATGTTTTTATTTTAAACAAAAACAAAAACACCACTTATAAAAAAAAACTTTCTAGTCGTTATAATTGCGGTTTTTTAAAAAAATTTTAAAAAACAATAAAATTTAATGTACTTCCGAATTAATTTAATTGCTTTGACATTTCGAAGACAATCAAATACAGCTTAAGATACGAGGTAATTAAAATTGTAGTCGAAAGAGACTTTTTTTACATTAAAACGCTCTTTCGACTACACTATAAGGATATATATATATATATATATATATATATATATATATATATATATATATATATATATATATATATATATATATATATATATATATATATATATATATATATATATATATGCATTTATATTCGTTATACATTTTTTGCAACAATCACTTTTTTGTTATTACTATTTTTATTGTTAAATTTTAATAAATGTTAGAGTTGTTTCTTGATATTATTGTTTTATAACATTATATAAATATGTTCCTAATAAATACTGCTATTATTCATATTTTATTGTTATTAATATCAATTTAATTTGTATTTACTTTATACTATTATACTATCAGTTATTACTAATATTGTTTTTGAATTTTTATTATTATTTTTATTATTATTATTATTAACTTGTTATTATTATAAATTTGATAGGTTTTTACTTGAGATTAGTATTATTACTATTTGTTAATATCCTTGATATAAGATTTTTTATTCAGAATAAACTTGATTTGATTTTATTTAAGTTTTGTAACAACTTTTAATTCCTTAAGTTAGTTTCTAAGTTCTATTTCATAAACATTTTTTTTCCGATAAAACGTTTAAACATATTATAATTGAACAAGTAAACTTTCAAACATAAAACTTAAATGTTTTGTATTTAAAACTCAATTTAAAAATCTATTAGGTGACGATAATATTATGGTTTTTAGAAATTTTACTTAATTTAAATATAATTGCAAATCAAAAAACACAAAAAAATAACGGGATAGTAAAATGAATGAGGTAATATATTTATAAAAGAATAATATCTTTAGTCAGCATTTTCTATAGTAATATGAATATAGTAAAATGAGTGAGTTATAGTAAAATGAATAAGTTATAGTAAAATGAATGAGGCAATATCTTTATAATAGAATAATATCTTTAGTCAGCACTTTCTAACTCGTGTACAAATATATAAAATTATATATTAGTTTTACTACCTACATTGAGGAATATATATACTTTTAATGAATTGAAGCAAAAAAAATGACATGAAAAAAAATGTTATGAATTTCCAAAAATCTGTAGGGTCTTACCCCTTCATTGACTAAAAATTAATGTCAAAAAGCTAGATTAATATATCTATCCAGAGTTTTAGATAAAAAAGCTAGATATTTATCAATTTAGAGTACATTAAAAATAAGCAGAGAAAATTGTCCTTTTAGCACAGTCTTTCTTTTTAAAGGGTCATCGCAGCTGAGAAAAATGATTTTTTTAATAACTTTGTGTGTTTTAAATTATAATAAATTTTATTTTGCTAATAAATGTGGAAATAAGTTTCTAACACAAAGCTAATTTTATGTTATATTTTTTATTTTGTTGAAATGTTTTTATAACTAATTTAATTATTTTCTTATGTATGGCTCTTTTCTTTCAGAATGGTTTCACCTATTTTATCTACTCACAGCAATAAAAGAATTTACATTTATAACTGGAAGTTTGATAAAGATATTTAAAACTACTTATCATCACAAAGCTTTACCCAAAGTTTTTAATATCCTGCCTTGTCAAATTTTGCTGTGAATTTTTTTTGTTTCTGCATAAAAGCACTTTGTTTATTCAAAAAGCTGCGAAATACAATTCTAAAATGTTTACTAAAACTACTAAAAGAAATTATAAAGTGGATTATCAGGATATAAAAATGATAAAAGAAAGTTATAATGTAATTCTAAATATAGAATTACACTTTAAATTTAATTATTTTTTATAGTCAACATTTGCATTTACATGGTCATCAATTAAAATTAATCAAAAATGGCAAAATAAATTCAAAAGCAAACTTGATGTATAAATTTTTTTTTTGCTTAACTGACGTCACTGAGCAATATATTTTTGGCTAAACTTGAAGTATATACATATATATATATATATATATATATATATATATATATATATATATATATATATATATATATATATATATATATATATATATATATATATATATATATATATATATATATATATTTATATATATATATATATATATATATATATATATATATATATATATATATATATATATATATATATATATATATATATATATATATATGTATACACATATATTTGTATATAAATATATATATATATATATATATATATATATATATATATATATATATATATATATATATATATATGTATATATGTATATATATACATATATATATATATATATATATATATATATATATATATATATATATATATATATATATATATATATATATATATATATATACACAAATATAAAATAAATAATTTTAATTCTCGATGAAAGGTAATTATATTTGTGCAAGCGCAAAATAACTTTAAATCAATTTAAACTACAACGTTTCACTGACAAAAATTACAACTTTATGCCAAAGTAAAAGACAACGTTCAATATTACGAAATGCCAACTTAAAATACAATGTTAAGCAAACGTTGGTTATTGTTTGTTGGCAAAGTTGCATTTTTAATCAAAATAATATAAAAACAACGTTGAGGGTTACTGTTAGATTAACGCAACGCCCAACATTGTTCAAACGTTTTGTAAATGTATGTGTACTAACTGTGTAGTTTCTTGAGTTCATAACTTTGTCGCAATCTTTAAAAATTTAAAGAACACTTTAAACGTATTTTAAAAAGATCAATATTTAAAGACTACTACGCAACCCTGTTATACTGAAGATTATTAGGCATCGTTATATAATATATTATACTATAAAATGTATTATATAATGGATCTTGATGAAGATTCAACAAATCGTATTTTAAAGATATCAGAGTAGCTCATCTTCACTTCCCAGAACACAGAATAAACTAGTAATTTATACAGTTCATTTTGTACTTTGTCCCTTAAATACATGAATGTATTGTTTTTAACAGTTTAAATACAAAATTTATTATGGAGGTTGCATTCTTTTGTAGGTTGTATGAACCAAAGTCAATATATCTCCCAAAATCTTATTAAATTATAGTTTGTTTTATTAAACGTTTTTATAATCATTTTCTTATTATGAGTTATTATTCAAATCAAAATTATTTTGTTTGCAGAAACTATAACGAGGAATGCACATCAAAATCGAATGTGAAGGGCTCGGTTTTCTGCTTTAAAAGACTTAGATGGAAAATGAGTCTAACGCGATAAAGTCTTCAAAAAAACAAGGCTTTACTGAGAAATATATTTGTACATACAATAATGAATAATTTGAAATATTTAATGTATTATAATACTAAAAATTATTTGTTATTTTACTACATTTTATTTTTTTTTATATCGCTCTCTGAACAAAATATAAAATGAATTAAACATAAATATATATTCTGAATTTAATATACTATGTACAGTCCTCGAGCAAGTTATTTATTAAAAATTAAAAATTAACTTTTAAATAAAAAATAAAGGATGATACAAATATAAAATAGCTAACAAACAAATTTTAACTATAAGTAAGTAAAATTAATCACTTTATTTATATAAGTATTGGTATACTAGTGTATTTTTAATCATTAAACAGAAAACAATATTTATAATATGAAAGTAATAAGTGCTTTATTTTTATTTTACAAGCAAACCCGCCTTGACATGTGAAGCGCCCACAGCCAATTTTTAGGTAGACCCTATATGGGTACCCCATTCAGAGCTTACCAAGCAGTACATTCTGGCCCCACTAAGGGCCTAGATGAATATGCTGGCTGGGTATCGATTTTTTTTTCTGAGGGTTTTTATCTATAGTTTAGCCTAATACATTTTTTATAAACATTCACTAATGCCGCTATTTTAAATACATTTATATCAAAAAGACTTCTAAGTCTATTTATATCAATTGCAAACTCAAAATATGCTATGACGTTTAAACTTAAATATGTTTGTAAGTAACACTACATAATTGGCGTTTTATATTCGCGTAAATTAAACTACGCGTTGTTTTTTATATATCTTTATTATATATCTGTATATAATCTTCTAATACTTTTTTTAAAAAACTTTCAATTAAAAACGTGATGAAAGACTCTTTCTCGCCATTACCACAACTTTAATATTTACAAATATAATGGTAATAGAATAAAGAAATTTCATCAAATTTAAGCAGTTTTGTTTGCCATTTGCAGGTTTTATTTTTAAATGAAATACTAACTTGTTAATATCTTTTTCTATTGGACACCATGCATATATTTCACACACTCTGTGTGTTATGTTTGGGCGGTCTGATTGAACACACTTTCCAGTTCTTAAACCTGAACAAAAAGTAAATCAAGTTATTTATTTAAATTAATAATTTATAAATTCAATGTACAAAGGTGTGAAAAAAATAATCAGCTCGTAATTTATTATTAAATTTGTTGAAAAAAAAAAGAACAAAGTATTTTAATAATTGTTGGATATTAAAACAAAATATAAGAAAAAAAAAATAGTGAAAAAAAAATATATTTTTGTAAAAGTTTTGGTATAAAGACCAATTGCAATTTGCCTAAGATTACTTAAATGCCCAATCAAAGATTATACCCAGCAAGCACATTATTAGTTAATATATAGTTTAAAATTAATATATAGTTAATATATAGTTAATATATTAGTTAATATATAGTTTAAAACTAACGACCTACAATGAGACCTAAGTAAGATGTTTTTTTTTAAATGTTTTTACAATATATAATTGTAAGGGCGACAAAATATAAAACATTGATCGAAAATTCCGTTTCCGATTCAGTTCCGATTATTTTTCAACACTCAACAAGAACAGACGCGTTTCTATAGCTCCGAAATAAAAAATTTAACGCTGTTTGTATTGAAATCCAAAAATTCATTTATGCAAACAATGATTTTGTCTCAGGTAGGCTAGAACAAGTAAATAGAAAAACAAAAGAAATTATTATTGAGATAAAAAATAATAGTGAAGTTGAAAAAAATAAATAGTAAGCTTAAGAAAATTGAAGACCATTCAAGGACAAATGTTTTGAGAGTTGATGGATTAAAAGAACGTGAGAATGAAAATTGGAATAAAAATGAATTTTAAAATGAATAAAATGAATTTTAAAATGAATAAAAATGAATTTTAAAATTGGAATAAAAATGAAAATTAAAATGAAGCAAAAGCTTTTTGAAGATTTGGATTAAAAAACGTGAAGACTTGGATTAAAAAACGTGAAAATAGAACGAGTCCGTAGGATAGGGATTAGAGACCCTCAAAAGATTTGATCAATTGTAATAAAATTTTTAGATTATAGAGGCAAGGTTGCTATTCTAAAAAAATCCCCAAGATTAAAGAAAAAAACATCTACATAAATGAAAATTACTGCGTGGAAACGATATTAATAAGAAAATATCTGAGAGAGCAACAGAAAAACAAACGAGAGCTTGAAAAATTCGCAATAATATCTTACAATAAGTAAACCCAGCTAGGGTTAGGGTTAGGGTTACGACTGAAAAGAAACTTTTTAAAAGAAAAAATATATATATATATTCGCTCTATGATAACTCCTACTAAGACATATGCTTTTTTATAAAAACTATATATATACAGTATCGGACAAAACAAGAGTAACCAAATAATGCTAATTTAGTTTCTTTATATAAAAGTACTGCATTTTTTCAATTTAGAGAAATAACTATGTAACTGTTTAGAGACAACGTTTTTCAAGTTTTATTCATCACAAAGTTCATTATTTGTACACGAAAATTATTAAATTAATCAAAAGTATTAAAAAAAGTTGAGTTCCTTTCGAACAAAACAAGTGCAACTGCACAAAATGTTGACCATGCTGTATTTCGCTATCAATGTTTGGTGGCGAATTCTTTGTTGTCGATCACTGTCTTGCATCTTCGAGGCATAGATTCGATCAGGTGATCAATGAAACTTTATGAACAGTTGATTTATTTATTTATTTTCTTATCATTACTTATTTTTTTTCTTATTATTTATTTTTTTTATTATTATTAGTTTTTTTTATTGTTATTTTTTTTTTCTTCTTATTTTTTTTTTTTCTTATTATTTTTTTTTTTATTATTATTTATTTTTTTTATTATAATTTATTTTTTTTATTTTTATTTTTTTTTCTTATTATTTATTTTTTTTATTATTTATTATTTTTTTTCTTCTTATTTTTTTTTTCTTATTATTTATTTTTTTATTATTATTTATTTTTTATTATTATTTATTTTTTTTATTATTATTGATTTTTTTTATTATTATTTATTTTTTTTTATTTTTATTTTTTTTTTATTATTTATTTATTTTGCCGTTGATAAATAGTATAAAAATGAAATTACAATAAAAGGTAATATTGGCCGTAGCAAGAAAAAGACATGTTGTCTTATCACCGAGCCCCGACACACCAAAATTTAACATGCACAAAAAACAAAAAAAGACAAAAAGACAGTATAAATACAAAAACTAAAACAAAAAATCAGTCAGCAATAAAATAATTTGTTGCTAATAATCTTCTAGCAAAATAATTTTAAAAATCAAAAATTAAAAACGAGAGAAAATCATGAAAGTTATAAAAACGCAAAAAAAATGCGTTGTTTAACTAAAAAAAAAAAAAAAGCAATATAGGTAACCATAAGTCATTGGGCTGATTATTTATTATCGTAAAAAGTATGAACAAAAAAGACAATTTTATTTTCCATATCTTCTATACTAATGGTTTGAAACCATTTTAATAAAAGCTAAAGAAAGTGTTAAAGATTTACTTTATTTTTAAGTGATTTAGTTTAAACCTTTAAATTGTTTTCAGAAAAGATATTTGAAATCTAATATATCGAAATCCATTTTCAGTAAATGCCGTTTTGAATCGTTCTTAAAACTTTGTAAATTGTAGTTTAAAACAAAGTTTTGTTTTTTATTAAAGATTGGAAGAAATTCATTCTAAACTAAAGGTCCCCAACATTGAATTTGGTACAAACTTAATTTAAGAAGACTTATTGGAACTACAAAATTATTCACTGAAAATATGGTTGTATATTTATGGGAGGATTCATTAAAGTAGGATTGAAATGCTACTGGAGAAACCCCTAGTAATTATCCTTATTGATCCTTATTACGAACACCTTCTTGTTTAATTCTGCGGTTGACAATCTCCTATAGGTTCTCGATATGGTTGAGATCCAGAGATTGAGGCAATCAATCCATCACCAATAGGTGGTTGTCTTTCAACCACTGCTTGACTACTTTTGCAGTGTGTTTCGGATTGTTGTCTTGCTGAAAAACACAGTTTTTTGGCATACTCTATTCAGCATGAGGTAACATAACATCTTTTTTGTTGTTTTTTTTTTTACATAAAACGGTCCATTGTTCCATCGAATCAATGCATCGGACTTTGATTGATAGCAGAAAAACATTTCCAGACCATTGCATTGCCTCCACTACGCTTCGCGGTTTTATGGCAGTAACGTAAATCGACGTAACGAGGCGTTTTCTGGCCGGTCGACGTACACGGTAAATGCCATCGCTCCTAATGATGTTGAACTTTGATTCATTACTGAACGGGACAGTTCAATATTTCTTCAATTTACAGTCAATATGAGATGTAGTCTTTTTTTCTGGTTCTTTAGTGAAATCAGCGGTTTCTTTGCAAAACATCGAGAAAACAATCCGGCTCAATAGCACGTCGTCTGATTATTCGTTCTAATAGAGGCAGCTCTAATTGTTTTTTTATTTCGACTGATGATATCCAGGGGCTCTTCTTGATGGATCTGACGATTATAGAATCCTCTCTTGAAGTGGTGGAACGCAATCTTCCACCTTTGTTATCTGCTGCTAACTTCCCCGTAAAACGATTTTAGAAACATTATCTTGATACGGTCCATTTTTTTACGCAATATTTATCACAAACACAATTTTGTGATATTCCACTTACGTAATCACCAATAATTTTTTTTCTTAGTGCCAATCCAAGACTCTCGGGAGCCAGTTTTTGCCCCTAAAGTCATAAAAAGAATAAAATAAATAATCACGCTTCTCATGGCTCACCGTGTTGCACTTACCTTGTGATGATACAGTAAAGCTCTGTTGAATATGGACTGAATTGATGTAATATAACACTTTTTGTAATTCACTTCTTGTATTGATGTTGTTTGATGAAACACTTTGATAAAACTTACTTCGACAAACTGTTATGATAATACTGACTTATTGACATCCATATACTGACTAAATTACATTTCGGTTTACTTGCCTATTATATAGTATCATTTAACTATATAATAGACATGTAAACTTGTTTTGGATGATTCTAGATGCTTCTTTTCGATGCTTCGTGAAGCTTCTGAATGCGTCTAGATACTTTTTCTGGAAACTTCTGGAAGCTACTGCATTCTTCTGGAATTTTCTGGAAACTTCTGGATACTTCTTTTAATTATTAAAAAACTTCCGCAATTTTGACACAGACCAGACTTAAGAAAATGAAATAAACCAAAAAATTTTCACTTGGTTTGTCCGCTGCAAAATGACAATTGTCAACAAAACTCTGCCTGTGTGCAGTCACCTGTCAGCTGATTACTCATGTCCTGGCATGCTATGACGCCAGACTCCTAAAGTGATTGCTGTGGTAGTATAGTTGGTTTTGTTTTTAAGACATGCAAAATTATCAACATTTTTTAGCATTGTTCAATATTGGTTGTAAATGTTTTGTCCAATACTATATATATATATATATATATATATATATATATATATATATATATATATATATATATATATATATATATATATATATATATATATATATATATATATATATATATATATATATATATATATATATATGGATAGCAACTGCCTAATGTAATTTTTATGTCTAAACATATCTTGTTTGCACATTTCTTAACATATTAGGCACGTAAAAAATGTAGAACAGTCTACATTTGTACTTACATATATATGTGGCTTGGTTAAAGAAATAGAAAAAACAATTTGTGATTTAAATTTCTTTTATCAGGCTACAGATATTAGTGTGTGTTTACATATATCTGTGGCTTGATATGTACATATATACATTGTACATATATACATGTACATGATGTACAAACACAAACACATGACATATAAACTTACAAATCTATATATTTTATTTATATATATATATTCGTTTATTCATTTCTTTGTGTACGTTTAATGTGTATCTAAATAGACGTATATAAATTCGTATATTGATGTGCTCTTACAGGTATTTATAAGTATACTGTGGCAGGCGTTATTTATGTATGAAATTAAATAAAAAGAAATTTCCCTATTAAA